CGCCGAAATCTATTTCTAGCTCAGGGCTAGTTGACCCTAAGGGAGCGAATTTGAGGTTCCTTTTTGATCCTTGGTTTGAGAATGCTACTCGGCCTGTGGGAATGGCTGATCAGCCTGAACGAACTCTATCTTTACTTAATGAGTTTTAATGCTTGGGCCGCGGACTAATTGGTTCCGCGAATCTATGCGTCTTCCCGGAGTTGTGCTCTACGGGGGTTAGTCTCACTTATTCTAAGTTAACCAGTCGCGGATATTGACTGGTGAGTAGGTTCGGTTTTTGGAAAAAGGTGTTCGCGAGTTGGTGCAATACCAAGACCGATGGGATAATGAAGGAGTCTAAATTAGAGGAATTTGAGGGGTGAAGGATGCAGGAGTAGCGATTGTGCCAGACCCGTTGGATTTTAAGGTTCCTGTAACAGAAAGTACTCACCTAGAGCATCAAATTCCCCGATCGCAAACGGACGAGTACAATTCCAGTTATCAAGTTGTACGCGCTGCGATCGAGCCGAAGGTTCAGATATAAGAGAGCGTTCCGTCCGCAGTGCTTCGCGCTCGCGGTCCGTGGCCCCCTCTCCCAGGGCCTCCGTACTTGCTCGCAATTAATATCGCGCATGCTCGAATAGAGCCGAATTACTAGTCCTTATGTACAGTAGCGCATGTTAAACACCTGACCCGTTACAATATGTTTATAAATTATTAAAACTAAATATGTCATTGAAATTTTCAACAAATATTTCAAATATCTTCGAATGAAATCTACAGGAAATCTTAAAAAATCTGTCGCTTGAGATATTTAACAAAGACTACAAAAAAATATTTAGAAATCATTCTATGCTACTAGAGTAATTATTTAATAATATAGTAAGGTAGATTAACTCATGAAAAATGTTGCGATACTATTAATCGGGGATATTCACTTAATAAACCGTGGATTTCAATTCTCGAAATTACGTGGAAATCAGTTGAAAATCGCAAATACAAATTACTGGAAATTTTTGGAAATTACCGAAAAAATTCTCACGATTTTAAGGCCGAACGTCACTTGTTATCGAATTTCATTTTCGTTTATTGTATGAAATAAAAGACAATCGATTCTCAAAGAGAAAAATCAATTTCACTGATTTCCAAGTGAATAGCCGAATATTTGCAAGTGAAATGCTAGTAAAATAAATGATTTCTTAATGGAAGACCTACTAATAATTATGAATATAATTATTTAATAATATAGCAAGGTAGATTAACTCGTGAAAAATGTTGCGATACTATTAATCGGGGATATTCACTCAATAAACCGTGGATTTAAATTCTCGAAATTACGTGGAAATCAGTTGAAAATCGCAAATACAAATTACTGGAAATTTTTGGAAATTACCGAAAATATTCTCAGAATTTTAAGGCCGAACGTCACTTGTTATCGAATTGCATTTTTGTTTATTGTATGAAATTAAAGGCAATTGATTGTCAAAGAAAAAAATCAATTTCACTGATTTCCAAGCTCCTGGCTATCAATTCTAGGAAACGTGGAAAACGTATTATCGTAATTGTTAAGAAATACAATGTGCTTGCAAGTTTAATAGATTTTTTTTTTCATGCAGGGGATAAAGAGAAAGAAGGAATTGAATATTTAAGAAATTTAATCAATCAATTAGGAGGCTGGCCAATGGGATTAATGTTAAATCCACGAAATCCTAATGGCCCAACTTGGCAAGAGATTGACAAATATTATACAAGACTTACCGGTCGCGCTTCATTTTTCTTTTTCACAATAAAACAACACCCGAACGAGTCGAATTTTACTGTATTGTCTGTAAGTAATTCCCTGAAACATGCACTCATGATGCAGTCTCTAGAAATGGCAAGAATAAACACTCGAAATTTTATAAAAAAAAAAAGNTTGTAATAAAGAAGAAACTCTTTACCAGATAGGAAGACCGCAATTGACACTCCCTGTCAGACTTCTCATGACAATGACTGACGAAAACAGTCAAATGGGAATGTTGCAACACATTACAACTGTTGTTTCGTCAATCAAATTCAACACTTTCAACACGTCTCAATACATAGACCTCAATGCAATCATGACAGATGCCAAAGCTCTAATTCGACTTGAACTTGCCTTGACAAAGGTACGAAACAAATGATACATTTTTTTAACAATTAAAAATGGGCGACCTGATGATATATTTCTGATTGTATATTCTAATTATACATTTTAAAAAGGTATTGCAATTGCAGGCAGGAACAATGGCTCCTTCAAATAGGTCGAGTCTTGTGAAATTTGAAAAGAAGCTGTTACCTATACATGATTTTCAAACATTGTATGATGACAATGTAATGCAAACTCAACAGTCTAAGGTAATAGAGAAAATAACAATGAGATAATAAGGCAATGGCAATTTAATACAACGAAGTGTACCGAGTAAAGAAAATATTAGTTGACTGAAACAAAAACTGTTGACATGTATACTGTTGTCTGAATCAGACATTTCATTGTTTCATCACAGAATTTTCTTGTCATATTGCATATTTCTGTTAGTCAACTAACTATTTTCCTTAACCTTAATGTTCATAAAAATTCTCGACATGAGAGCCTCTTCATTTGTTTATGTCGATTAATGAAATGTACATGATTGAATAATCCGAGAAATTTCAATTACATTTTCATTTAGTTATTTATTAAATTATATTAGCTGCTTACTGTTAATTTATCCGGGTATGTTCTTGTTTATTTCGAGATATTCCTTGAAATATTAGGAAAGAAGGGAAATGGGAACAATTAACATTTGTAAAGTAAGTTTCGTTTATCTTTTCAGATCGACTGGTTGGATGTTATTAACAATCTATGTTCAGGAACAAATATTGGACCGGTTAGAGATGATGTTATTGTTGTTAATCCTGTTTCATATTTCGTAGCACTAGGACAAATATTGAATACAGTTCCCAAAGAAACCCTGGGTAAAAATTGGCAATAACATTTCAAGAATTATTATATTAAGGTGATATGAAAGAGTCGTATATATATGTACATATACATGGCTCTCTCTTATAAATATGTATATTATATGTATGTGTATGTGTATATATATATGAGAGGTTAAATCGTCCTAAAGTAGGTCCTGATACTCATGAAATTTCAATTCTTTTCAAATTTGTTTATAGGTATTTTAAAAATAGTTTATAAGAAATGAAATTTCGCGAGTTTCAGGACCTACCTTAGGGTATCCATATTCACGTTTTAAAGTATGAAACGACTTGAGACACCCAGTTTGTAGACAAGTTTTATGAACGATTAAGCTTCACCTTAAGGGGATGTGAAAGTGGCATCGAAGAGGTTTTGTTTATAAAACTTTTCTCCCAACTCGATTTACCGAATAGTTTGAAACTTTACAACGTGAATAGGGAGCCTATATGGAAGGTCCTGAAACTCATGAAATTTCAATTCTTTTCAAATTTGTTATAGGTATTTTAAAAATAGTTTATAAGAAATGAAATTTCGCGAGTTTCAGGACCTACCTTAAGGTCTCCATATTCACGTTTTAAAGTATGAAACGAGTTGAGACATCCAGTTCGTAGAAATGTTTTATGAACGATTGAGCTTCCGGATGCCACTTTCACATCCCTTTAAGTTCACCGGAAAATATGTCGAGACATGTTGATTGTAAAATAATTTTCACTTCTTCCCAGTAAATTACGTCCACTGGAGATTTATATACAAAATGTACAGATTCTGTAGTGACCGTACAAGGGAACTCGATCATACGATTAAGAAACAGCTTTTACAGAGAACCGATCTGAAGTCCAGGTGCGATTAAAAAGAAAAAACAGTAATTTTAAAAATTAGTCGCAATTTGTTTATGCAATTCCGATTTCAGACGGGAAGATTGCATGAGAAGAAATCCGTTTAAAGAGGCGGTAATATATCAGTACCTATCTAGGTTCGTTTCCGACGATTCCATTAAAAAGGTAAACATTTCATTTTTATAAACACGAATTATTGCACTAAAAAAACAAAAATCGTCGAACCAAAGAAATATCGATTCAATTATTTGACACAAATGAAATTGTTACAATTTCGAAGAAACGTCCCAGATAGCATAAAATATTGATTGAATATAGAAAAGAAGTTGGAAAATATTCCTCACGTATATTCGACATTCGAATGATACTTTAAGTACAATATTATATTATGTACATATGATAATGTTTCC